GGCTGAATTGCACAAAACGCATGATCGCACCGGCTAGCCTGGTGCGCGTTGCCATTTATTTTATAATAATTTTATGATTTTTTTTTATTAAAACGATGACGGAAAACTGCCCTAAACACCAATTTCTGATAATGTTTTATTACAGTCACGTTTTCCTAATTATTCATCCAGTTTCAGTTCTGGTATTTTATGCCCCCTTGCCTCACCCGCCGTTACGCGAACGATTTTCGCCAAGATAATAACATTTTCCGAGACAATAGAAAAATATGTTGAAATAGGAATGAGAATAGAAAATTAAACAATTGGCCAACGCAAATTAAACAATTGCCCGTGTGAACATGCATTTTTTTGCATAGTTCCCCGCAGTTTTTGTCGCTAGCAGCACCGGTTTTCCTGCAAATGCTTCCAGCCAAACAAATTAAGACTGGCTACCAGAACTGCCAGGATACATCCCCTTAAAATTTCAGCTTTTTAGCTTTTCTGGCTCCCGAATAATTTCAGCTTTTTAGCTTTCCTAGCATAAAAATAAATATTAAGGAATTAGTAAAAGTGGCGGAATTATTTTAATAAAGTTATTATAATAGTGAGAAAAGCTTCGATCCACTACGTCGTATACATTTCTCACCACTGCCACAATATTTCATCACAGTATATAAATAGCAGCGTGTGCGGCGAGGAAGTGGTGTACAAAACACAGTAAAGACATCCTAAAATGGCTAAAGCTGTGCCCAAATTCTTCTACCGAAAAGACATTTAAACGAATAATCCCCTCCAGGAAGCGAAGAGAGTATCAGGATCGTCATTAGGCTGACCACCGGACAATGCGGCACTAGTAAGGAAACTGGAATAACCATGCGTTGAATAGATAAACCTGAATCTACAGTTAGATCAAGCGTTCAAAAAGTGATTTAAGTAATTTACTTAGACGATAAAAGATTACTGCCAATAATCACTTTAAAAAGAGAGGAGAGAACTGTTATTTGACTCAGCAAAAACATGGAATTCAGACTAATAAAATGGACATTTGGCCTTGACCACATGGCCTTTTCTCTGTAAAAATTCAAAAACTTATCAAATTTTTTAAAAACTCATTAGTTAATTTCAACATTGTCGGTCAGGAATCAGCAAGAATTGCCAGAAATGCTAGTACCAATCGTTCTAAAAATGTTGGATTGCCGTTATCGAACTGTACTTATACATTCAACTTACAGCTGTGCGAAAACCATTTATCCAAAGCTGCATATCTTCGGTTTTTAACCATCGCTGCTTTTATTACGTACGAGTGTTATTTTTGCAGAAACCGTCCAAACCGTTGTTTATTTTTTTTTTTTTTTTGCAACTTCACTGAGATGTGGAGTGAAAAAAAGAAATCAAAATATACCCAACGCGTTCGATGAGGACACGTCGATAAACGCGTGAGCTGGCCTGTGGCTGATGTCGATAGTGGGACATGATATCGTGAAAAGCGATGCACTGTTGGCCAATTTTCGTCACTACATACAGGCAACACATCAAATTCTGATCCAGATGTCGCCCGGCCATAAGCGAAGTTTCGTGCCGCAAAATATGCTCAAACAGCGTCCAGGCACGCTGTCGGCCTTTCTCATCCAAGCGTACCCGTTCGCAGAGATCGCGTAAACGAACCGCTGCTAAATAGTACACCTAAAAGGAGTTCGATAAATTAAGTTCACGCATTAAAAACAATAAATAGCGGCACGCACCAGGGAAGCCAGTGCGACAATGCGTTTTGCGCAGTTCCGTTCAGCGAACGTTTGCTTACTAAAAATACAACTCTTTTACACTTTTGCATGTTGAAAAATAGTAGATATGCTGTCTGGTTCCTAAAGTGAGGGATTTTCCACTGAAAATTTCACGTGCCGGTGGTACATGAAAGCTGAATTTGAAAACATAGATGGGGAAAATCCCTTTAAATTTCAACCTCCCCGCATAAAAACGACGCGAGGGAAATTCGGAAGAACACTGAACTAAAACAAACGTCAGGAACATTAACAGGTAACGCAGCACTAGTCAAAGCAGCAGAAAAAGTCCCCAGCGTCAAAGTTGAAAAATCGTACAAGATTCCCCCTTATTGAAGCTGCTGATCAAATTTTTATGCGTTTTTTGCAGCTATGCAATGCAAAAAACGCATATTGACGAGAGGTTGTCTGTGT